ACGGAGGAGATGGATTGCTTAAGTTTAGAGTTTGGAGTTAGAGATATTAATATTTGTTTACTTGTAGTTGAATGTTAGCCTAGGTTTGGTTTGGGAAGTCTGGGGGGTGGGGGGATGGGATAAATCATTGTGTAATACTTGTGATGTATTTTTTCTTTTATGATAAAAACAATAAAATTCTATATTGAAAAAAAAAAAAGATAGATGAGAGCAGCAGTAATATACTAGAAGCTGCTCCATAGCAAGAAAATGGGTCAGGATGTGTGAAGTGGGAGCAGGACAGATTGGAGGGCTAAGACCTCTTTAACTTTATGGGCCTGGCTCTCTGTTACTATAATTGTTGTGTCCTGAGCCTGCAAAAGCAGTCTCGGGACGTTGCATTGGTCCTGGGCAACTCCAAAAGCTGCCCGGGACCAGAAAGAGCAGCACCAGCCTTGTGCACATACGCAAGGCATGAAACGCTCTGTTCCTATTGGTTGAGAATGTCCGGGCTTCTGGCCATATAAAAAGGCCTGCATGCCTTTTGCTTTTGCTCGGTTGTTGTGGAAGAGAATAAAGCGTTTTGTTTAATATCGCCATGTGTCTTCATTACTCGCTCGTGAACGAAGTACACAACACTGGCGATGAAGGTAAGATTCCTTTGCAAGCTAAAACAAAGATTTAAGACTTACCCAGCAAGTCTGAAGAAGGGAAGACGGCATATGAATCAGCATCCCAGCCTGCCAGTACAGTGTCGCTGGAGGTTGAGCTCGGCTAAAGAACCCTTTCCCCAAATTACAGCCTGCAGAGGAAGCGAGTGGTGAAGGTCATAAAGTTTACGATGTCAAAGATTGGCCGTTTGACTGATTTCGATGTCTCCCACCCAGAGAGATGGAATTCCTATGTAACACGGGTGGAGAATTACTTCAGAGTGAATCAGATTAGAGAAGACGGCCTGAAGGCAGCAACTCTTTTGTGTGCCTGTGGACAAGAAGCTTTTGACATCGCAGAAAATCTGGTGGCCCCTGCACCTCTGGAGTCAGTAACATATGCTGACTTGAAGAAAATGTTGAGGGAGCATTTCCAGCTGAAGCTATCCGTCATTGCTTGGAGCAGAGAGACCAGAGGCCGGGTGAATCTGCTGCGGACTTTATTGAGGCCTTAAGGCAAGCAGCCAGACCGTGTGAGTTCAAAGATCTAGAAGAGAGGCTGTGAGATAGATTTGTCTGTGGCTTAAGGAGCAGAGACTTACAGCAAAAGCTGTTTGCAAAAGAAGATGTCTCCTTCCAAGATGCGTTGCGAGAGGTGGCAGCTGAGGAAGCAGCAGGCGGGGCTATGAAGGCCTTGCGCCTCACCAGGAATCCTCCTGACACAGCTACCATCCATCAAGAGGTCCCTCGAGAAGGATCAGAGGAGGATCCTGAAGAAGAGGTCGACAGACTTCATCAGGCGGCGGAAAGAAGGCAGAAGAGTCGTCCGGTCAAGACCCCAGCATCGCTTCAATGCTTCGGGTGCGGAGGACACCACAAGCGAGCTGATTGCAGGTTCCGCTCTGCCATTTGCAGGGCATGTGGCAGGCAAGGCCACATCGCATCCATCTGTTTGGGTCGCCAGAAGGTTCAACCTCGGGAAGAATTGCTTCCGAAAGGTACCAGGGTCCCCAGCCAAAACAGGGTGGGTTTCTGCGCATTGCACAAGCCCCTTAAGAAGAAACTGTCCATTAACGTAAGATTGCAAGGGGTTCCCTTACGGATGGAGTTGGACACTGGGTCCGCTCTTTCTATTATTTCCATTACTACTTTTAATAGGATTTGTAGCTGTAGTGGCCTTCGAGTTAAACTCAGGCCATCAAATATAACACTTACTGATTTTCAAAATTCTATGGTGTGCGTTAGGGAGGCCACCCTTTAAGATACAGTATAAGGATTTTGAAGGTTCCCTAGATGTGGTGGTTGTTGGGGGTGAACGTACAAATCTTATTGGACTCAATTGGTTCGAGGCTCTGGGAATCCAGGTAACTGGGCTGCACAGCCTGCAAACGCTGGGCCTTGCAGAAGTCTGCAAGGAGTTTGCAGATGTGTTTAGTTCAGAACTAGGATCCTACAAGGGGCCTCCCATTTAGTTACGGTTAGACCCAACCATCACGCCCATTAGGGTTAAGTCAAGAAGGGTACCTTTTGCCCTCAAAGGCAAGATTGATGCTGAGCTGGACAAATTGTTCCAGCAGGGCATTCTAGAACCTGTGGATTCTAGTCCATGGGAAACCCCCATAGTAACGCCTCTAAAGGCTAATGGGAAAATACGTATTTGTGCAGACTACAAGTGCACGCTGAATAAGGCGCTGCAACAGCATGCTTACCTAGTGCCTGTGGTAAGTCATATTCTGGCCTCCCTCAAGGGGGGGGTGCATCTTTGTGAAGCTTGACCTGGCAGCTACCTGTTGATGAGGCAGCTGCAGAGGTCCAGACTATTGTAACACATAGGGGGGCCTTCAAGGTCAAGAGACTGCAATTTGGGGTAAATGTAGCCCCTGGCATATTCCAAAGTGTCATAGAGAGCACACTTCGAGGTATTCCTGGGGTCTGTCCCTACTTTGATGACGTCCTCATTGCTGGGGAGTCACCTCAAAACTTAGCAGAAAGGTTAAGGGCTGTCTTGCTTCGTTTTTGAAAAGCAGGCCTTAAGCTAAAGCAGGATAAATGCAAGATAGGAGTCACTTCCACCAACTTCTTAGGGTTCAGGATTGATGCCCAAGGCATTCACCCTGCTGAAGCTAAACTACAAGCTATTCAACAGGCCCCAAGCCCCAAATGCAAGAGTGAGCTACAAGCCTTCTTGGGGTTATTAAATTTTTACCATGCATTTCTCCCACATAAAGCTGCAGTGGCAGAGCCCTTACACAGGCTCTTAGACAAACAGGCTCCTTGGCAGTGGACTAAAATCCAAGAAAAGAGTTTCAATGAGGTTAAGGCCTTGCTCACTTCTAATGATGTTTTAGCTCATTTCAATGAGCAACTGCCTGTTTGCATCGCATGTGATGCATCTCCTTATGGGGTGGGGGCTGTACTTAGCCATCTGAAGGCTGATGGGACACAGGTCCCTGTAGCCTATTACTCAAGGACTCTGTCTTCTGCAGAGCGAAATTACACTCAAATTGACAGAGAAGCCTTGGCCATAGTGGCTGGCATAAAGAAATTTAATGATTTCTGTTGTGTCCTGAGCCTGCAGAAGCAGGCTCGGGATGATGCAAGAGTCCTGGGCATTGCAAAAGCTGCCTGGGACCAGACTGAGTGGCGCCGGCCTTGCGCGCATGCGCAAGGCGGGAAAAGACTGCCTGCTATTGGTTGGGATTGCCCGGGGATCCGGGGGTATAAATAGAGGCCTGCGTGCCTCTGCTCTTGTTGGTTGTTAGCTGTAAGAGAGAGAGAATAAAGATCTGTTCTGCAATATGAATTGCCTCCTTCGCCTTTCATCTCCAGACTTAACACTGGCGACGAAGGTGGGATTTAGACTAGATAGCTAGGGAAGCTTAAAGACTCACCCAAAAGAAGTCCGGAAGAGGGACAACGGCGTTGAAGTCAGCGTCTATCCTGCCAGTACAGCATCGCTGGAGGGTGAGTGCAGCTGAAGAAAACCCTGTCCCTTTATTATGGCAAAAATCGGTCGTTTATCTGAATTTGATGTCTCTCACCCGGAGAAATGGGAATCTTATGTTGCAAGGGTGGAGACTTACTTCCGAGTGAATCAGATAAGGGAAGATGGACTAAAGACTGCCACAATGTTGTGCGTTTGTGGGCAAGACGCCTTTGAGATCGCCGAGAATCTAGTCGCCCCGGCCTCGCTAGAAGCTGTTTCATACTCTGATCTAAAGAAACTTTTGAAAGAACACTTCCAGCCCAAGCAATCTGTTATTGCTTGGAGGCACACATTTGAACTGAGAGATCAGCGAGCTGGGGAATCAGCAAAAGAATTTATTGCAGCCTTGAGAAGAGCGGCTAAACCGTGTGAGTTCAAGGATCTAGAAGAAAGGCTGTGCGATCGTTTTGTGTGCGGACTGAGGAACAGAAACTTACAGCAGAAGCTGTTTGCTAAGGAAGATGTCTCTTTCCAAGATGCTCTGCGAGAGGTTACGGTAGAGGAAGCTGCAGGTGGAGCGGTAAAGAATCTGCGGCCCACTCGAAGCGCTCCAGAGACTGCAGCCATCCACAAGGAGGACTTGCGGGAGGACTCGGAAGAGGATCCTGAAGATGAAGTGGACAAGCTTTATCAAGCAGCCGGGAGGAGGCCAAAGGATCGTCCGGACAAAGGCCCAGCTGAGCTTCGATGCTTCTGATGCAGAGGTCGGCACAAGCGAGCGGAATGTCGGTTCCGTTCCGACATCTGCCGAGCGTGCGGCAAGAAAGGCCACATCGTAGCGGTTTGCCTGAGTCGACAGAAGGTACAACCGAAGGAAGAATTGAATCTGAAAGGTACCATGGTCCCCAGCCAAAACAGGGTGGGTTTCTGTGCAACACGCAGGAATATATTAAGAATAGGCACACACAAACCCCTTAAAAAGAAATTGTCCCTTAAGGTAAGGTTGCAAGGGGTTCCATTGTCTATGGAACTGGACACAGGGTCTGCCCTATCCATAATTTCCCTCAACACATTCCACAAAATCTGCAGCAGCAATGGCCAGCGAGCTACGCTCAGGCCTTCTAATGTAATTCTTACTGACTTTCAAAATTCCAAGGTGTGCGTTAAGGGGGAGGCCACCCTTAAGGTACAATATAAGAATTTTGAAGGTCCCTTAGATGTGCTGGTTGTTGGGGGTGAGCGCACGAGTCTGATTGGACTCGATTGGTTCGAGGCCTTAGGAATCCAGGTAACAGGGCTGCACAAATTGCAAACGGAAACCCTAGCAGACGTCTGCAAGGAGTTTGCAGATGTGTTCAGTTCTGAGCTAGGATCCTACAAGGGACCTCCAGTTTCACTAAAGCTAGACTCAGCTGTACAGCCCATAAGGGTTAAACCTAGGAGAGTACCATTTGCTCTTAAGGGCAAGATTGATGCTGAACTGGACAAGTTGCTCCAGCAAGGCATATTAGAGCCTGTAGACTCCAGCCCGTGGGAAACTCCCATTGTAACGCCTTTAAAGGCAAATGGGGACATTTGTATTTGTGCAGACTACAAGTGCACACTAAACAAGGCCCTACAGCAACATGCTTATCCTGTGCCTGTAGTGAGCCACATTTTGGCTTCCCTTAAAGAGGGTAAGATTTTTGCAAAGCTTGACCTGGCTCAAGCGTATCAACAGTTGCCTGTTGATGATGCAGCAGCAGAGGCTCAAACTATTGTTACCCATAGAGGGGCTTTCAATGTGAAAAGGTTGCAGTTTGGGGTGAATGTAGCCCCTGGTATTTTTCAAAGTGTAATGGAAAACACCCTGAGGGGTATTCCTGGTGTCTGTCCTTATTTTGATGACGTCCTCATCGCAGGGGACTCAGCTCAAATGCTGGCAGAGAGGTTAAGGGCTGTTTTGCTTCGTTTCCGAAGAGCAGGCCTTAAGTTAAAACAGGACAAATGTAAGATTGGTGTCCATTCCACTGATTTTCTGGGGTTCAGGATAGATGCTCAGGGCATCCACCTGTCTGATGCTAAGCTCAAAGCTATTCAGCAGGCTCCAAGCCCTAAGTCTAAGGGTGAATTACAAGCCTTTTGGGGTTTATTGAACTTCTATCATGCTTTTCTGCCTCATAAAGCTGCTATTGCTGAGCCTTTACACAGACTTTTAGATAAAAATGCCTGTTGGCAGTGGACCAAAGTCCATGAAGCTAGTTTCAATGAGGTTAAGGCCTTGCTTACATCCAATGCGGTGCTAGCTCATTTTAATGAGCAGTTGCCAGTGTGTCTGGCTTGTGATGCTTCCCCCTATGGTGTGGGAGCTGTGCTTAGCCATCTGACAGCTGATGGGACTCAGGTCCCTGTGGCATATTATTCTAGGACATTGTCTGCTGCTGAGCGTAACTATGCTCAAATTGACAAGGAAGCTTTGGCTATTGTGGCTGGGATTTAAAAATTCCATGATTTTATCTATGGCCGCCATTTTACGGTCTTTACTGACCACAAGCCTTTGCTGGGATTGTTTACTACGTCCAAACAAACCCCACACATCCTTTCCCCTCGCATGCTGCGATGGTCCATTTTTTTGTCAGCTTATGAGTATTCACTAGTTCACAAACCTGGAAAAGAAATGGGTCATGCTGATGGCTTAAGTAGGCTGCCATTGACTGCCGTGGAGCCTGATCCTGCCCCTGCTGTGCACATATTGTCCATTCAGGATTTGCCGGAGTGTCCCCTTAATGCTAGGGATGTGGCTGCTGAAACTGCCACTGATCACACGCTTAAACGCATGCTGACATGGGTGCTGTCAGGTTGGCCTGACAGATGCCCAGAGGAGGATTTCCAATGCTTTTGGGTCAAGAGGCACGAGTTGTCCACGTTCAATAGCTGCCTCCTCTGGGGTTCTAGAGTTGTGATTCTGGCCTCATTGAGGTCGAGAATCTTAGTGTCCTTACATGAGGGTCACCCTGGGATTGTCAGGATGAAAGCGCTTGTGCGCAGCCATTTGTGGTGGCCTGGCATTGATAAAGCCATCGAGGCCCAGGTACATGGGTGTCATGTGTGTCAGCAGTCCAGGCCAGAAATGCCTCAGGCCCCTGTTCATAGGTGGGAGGAAACACACACTTTATGGTCTAGAATACATATAGATTACGCTGGGCCCTTTCAGGGGCAATTCTTCCTGGTTGTTGTGGATAGCCATTCCAAATGGCTGGAGGTTGTGCCTGTGTCATCCACCACTACTGCCAAGACCATCCAGGTGTTGAGAAACATTTTTGCTGCCCATGGTCTGCCAGATGTTGTGGTGTCGGATAATGGTCCTCAATTTACTTCTGCTGAGTTTCAGGTTTTCCTTCAAGCCAACATGATTCGCCACGCAACTTCAGCTCCATTCCACTCTTCCACCAACGATCTGGCTGAACGGATGGTCCGCATCGCCAAGGACGCTCTCAAGAAACTGACTTATGGCAACTGGCATCACAGGTTGGCTGACTTCCTTCTAGCCCATCGTACTACTCCGTGCACTGCCACGGGTAAGTGCCCAGCTGAACTCCGTTGGGGTCGCCGGCTTGTGACTAAATTGGACAGGCTGCATCCGGAGCGAGTAGCTTCACAGGTGTCTCAGCCACACCCACCATGGGTCCTTCATGTGGGTGATCCTGTCTGGACCAGGAATTACGGGCCTGGACATCTCTGAGTCCCGGCAGTGGTCTGCAAGGTCTCGGGGCCTCTGTCCTACGAGGTGTCCTTGGACGACGGCCGCGTCCTTCGCCGCCATATTGATCAACTACGTGTGAGGCGGGACTCGCCTCGGTTTTCTCCTCAGTTTTCTCTGGGGGGGGAGGAGGAATGGGAAGTGCATTCTGGGAATCAGCATCAGCCTGGGAGTCACACCGGAGGTATCCTCACTACCCACAACTCAACAACAATACTCCAGACAAGGAGACTGACTGGGAGCATCCTCATAACTCACAACATACAAGAGAGCAGGCACAACAGTTTGGGGACTTGCCCTTTTCAGCAATGGCTCACAGAAGGAAGTCCCCACGCATTAGGGCTAACAGGGAGGTATCCTTGGACCCTATCACTACAGAAAGGAGCCAGGAAAATTACACCCCTTCAGGGAACAAGGAGATGAGTTCAGAGGGCTCAGAAAGCTCCCTAAGAGGCAGGTCGACCAGGTACAGTGAACAGCAGACTCCTGACTACCTGAGCCTAGGAGGCGAGCAGGGAAGTCAGACAGCAGTCATAGGACAGCCGCAGTGTAATTCACCTAGTGTGAAAAGCAATGGTGGGGACCATTCAAGCTCCCCAGGTCCGAGAAGGTCGCTACGGGTCAAAGGCCCGCCCAAATACCTTGCAGATTATGTGAGGTGAGCAAGAGTTAGAGAAATCTGGACAAGAGGTCCAGGTTGGTTAGCTCATAGGAAAAAAAGGGGTTGGGCGCATTTATTCTCAGAACGATAGCTCGACCCATACTTTTCACACTCTGTGCATTTGATGCAAAAGTTAGCAAACACATACTCTACCAAAGGTGGCGTCCATGTTGGGCACAGCATTATTTCATCTAGGGGGGAGGGGTGTTGTGTCCTGAGCCTGCAGAAGCAGGCTCGGGATGATGCAAGAGTCCTGGGCATTGCAAAAGCTGCCCGGGACCAGACTGAGCGGCACCGGCCTTGCGCGCATGCGCAAGGTGGGAAAAGACTGCCTGCTATTGGTTGGGATTGCCCGGGGATCCGGGGGTATAAATAGAGGCCTGCGTGCCTCTGCTCTTGTTGGTTGTTAGCTGTAAGAGAGAGAGAGAATAAAGATCTGTTCTGCAATATGAATTGCCTCCTTCGCCTTTCATCTCTGGACTTAACAATTTCCTATATGGCCACCATTTCACGGTCTATACTGACCATAAGCCCTTATTAGGGTTGTTTACCACCAACACACAGACCCCACATATCATTTCTCCTCGTATGCTGAGATGGTCCAGTTTCCTGTCAGCATATGACTATACATTAGTTCACAAACCTGGAAAAGAAATGGGTTATGCAGATGGCCTGAGCAGATTACCACTGAACCAATTAGAGCCAGATCCTGCTCCAGCCATTAATATTCTTTCCATTCAGGAGTTGCCTGAGTCTCCCCTCAATGCTAGGGACGTGGCTGCAGAAACTGCCACTGATCACACGCTTACACGCATGTTAACATGGGTATTGTCAGGATGGTCTGACAAGTGTCCAGATACTAAGTTCCAAAGCTTCTGGCACAAGAAGCATGAGTTTTCCACTTTCAAGGGTTGCCTGTTATGGGGTAGCAGGGTAGTGATCCCAGCCTCATTGAGGTCTAGAATCTTGATCTCTCTGCATGAGGGACATCCTGGTATAGTCAGGATGAAAGCGCTTGCGCACAGCCATCTTTGGTGGCCTGGGCTAGATAAAGCCATAGAGGCCCAGGTGCTTCACAGGTGTCACAACCGCGGGCACCTAGGAGACTCCAAGTGGGCGATCCGGTTTGGGCACGAAACTATGGGCCTGGACATCTCTGGGTCACAGCTGTGGTCTGCAAGGTCTCGGGGCCGTTGTCCTACAAAGTTTCCTTGAGTGACGGCCGCATTCTTCGCAGGCACATAGACCAACTGCATTTGAGACTGGACTCGCACCTTCCGCTCCTGGCTCTGCTCTGGGCGCGGGGGAGGACCAGAATATGCATTCTGGGTCACAGTGTTCCAGACCAAACAGGCCCTCACTAGCTGCTACAGAAGCTGTTTGGGATTCATCCCAAAGTTCCGCAAGTGCTCCAAACAGGAATTCACTGGATAGGGGGTCATCCCACACATCCATAATCACTCCAGACAGGGAGTCACACCGGGGGTATCCACAGTATTCACATATGACAGATAGTGCTTCAGACAGGGAGACTGACCGGGGGTAGCCACACAAATCACAAGTAGCAAGAGAAAAGGAATTCCATCTGGGGCGCTTGCCTGATTCCGCAATTGCTCCTAAAAGGAAGTCACCAGCAAAGGGGGTTGCCATGGAGGTGACTCCTGACTCTGGCACCTTTGGCTCATGCTGGGGGGCCACTGAGTACTGGGACACTTCCGCTACCCAGATTCCTCCATATGCTGGCCTTGGGCTCGAGGGACAGTGTTCCCAAGAGGGGTCCATTGTGGACCCGGGGACTTCCACCCCTCCAAGGTATGCTGGCCTGGACTTAGAGGGTCCAGCCAGCCAGCAGATGGGCGGGTCAACCGGGTATTTGGGGCAGCAAAGTCCTGGCCTGCCTAGCCTGGTAGGCGAGCAGGTAGGCCAGGCACCCTCACCAGGGTCACCTGGGGATTTAAGGCAGCAACGCCCTGGCCTGTCTAGCCTGGTAGGCAAGCAGGCGGGCCAGACAATCTCTCCAGGCCTTAGAAGGTCGCAGCAGGCCAAGTGCCCACCCAAACATCTGAGAGATTTTGTGAGGTTGCTGTCAAATCATGAGGGACAGGCTCAGGAGATCCCTGATTAAAGGGAGTAACTCTTGAGTAGTTTATTTGTATTATTTTTTTATTTTGATATCGGATACATTTATTGTATTCCTCATATTGAAGGGGGTTCGCCTGAGGGCAGCCTCATGTATTCCACACTCTTTATATTTAAATAATGCAACTGTATGCCACTCTTCCCAGTGCTAGATGTACAGGTGTGTACGCGAAGTATGCTCCATCTAGGGGGGAGGGGTGTTGTGTCCGGAGCCTGCAAAAGCAGGCTCGGGATGTTGCATTGGTCCCGGGCAATTCCCAAAGCTGCCCGGGACCAGACAGAGCGGCGCCAGCCTTGTGCGCATACGCAAGGCGTGAAACGCTCTGTTCCTATTGGTTGGGAATGTCCGGGCTTCTGGCCATATAAAAAGGCCTGCGTGCCTTTTGCTTTTGCTCGGTTGTTGTGGAAGAGAATAAAGCATTTTGTTTAACATCGCCATGTGTCTTCATTACTCGCTCGTGAACGAAGTACACAACAATAATAATCCTAAATTCCATCAGAAATGGGTATGGTATATCCTTGGGTCTAAATATGAAGGTTTTCCATTATTAAATTAAAGTGTGTTCTACTAAAACTGAAAACATTCTAACATTTTATGTGAAATCTTCTACAACTGATTCAATACTTCTCTAGTTATTTGTCTTATTGGTAGATCATGAACAATAATGGTCAGTGCTTCTTTTTCAACTAGACAATTCAGAGATAAGAAAAAAGTAAAATCTTTCACTGCTGTTATGAAAACTGTTGAAGTAAAATTAAAATGTTTGATTACAGTAAACTTTTATTTTAGTAATGAAACCATGGACGTTATGTTCTTTTAATAATCTATTGATAGAGTAATGTGAATAGAATTAAAAGAAACTTGCAAAAGAAAGAACACTTTTGTGTATGCCTTAAGAATTAGAAGGAATTATATTCACATGTTAAGCTTCCTGAAGCTTCTTATTGAACTGTGATAAACACTGTGTTCCTAAAGGAACAAGAGCAAATGGAAACAAATGTTCTATTGAACAAAGAGTTATATAAAAATATTACTTGTAAAATGAAAAGATGGATCTCATTCTTGTATACTATCAGCATAATTTTTGTGTTTTTCAAATTGCAAACAATATTAGATAACTTTTAAAATATAAAAATGTAACTCCTACTGTCTAAAACCATTTTGAAAAACATGTGAACAGTTATCTGTTATCTCTGCTATCTGTTCCACATTCAGTCAGTCTATTTATGGAGAAGATATTGAAGGCCATAGCGCATTTTACCTGAATTCTTTGGGATGCTTCATGTGACTGGTTTCTATATAAATCTTTTTCTTCAATATGGGTGAAACAGGCATCTTTGTTTCCACATATTATTTTACAGAATGCTTAAAAATTTGCTTTAGGAATAGCTCCAATAAATTAAGCCTACGATTTTCTATCATCAGTTAATAAGTCCCAAATGAGTTCATGATTTTTTTTTTTCTAAGATGATATGTAAAGATTGTGATCTTAAAATTTGGTGAGTCACCATATCAAAAAAATCTAGGTAAATTAAATTTAAGCAAAGGCTTAATTCATTTAAAAATATTGTTTTTAAAATGGGAACTTAAGATACCATAGGAAGTAACTGAATCTGCGATATTATATATAAATAACTATTAAACTGAAAAGATCTAGGCTGAAATAAATGAAAGAATAAATAAAGCCAAAGTATGGTTGTCAACTATCTTTGTCATATCAAGGAAAAGATATGATGATTCTGTTCAAAAGCAAATTATTTTCAGAGAGACATGAAATAGTGATGAGAATCAATATATCACCTTCTATTCTAGAAAAATCTGCTAACCCTGGTTATTCCAGGACATTCCTAACAAGTGTTTCTAACAGTGTTCTCCATTTTTTAGAAGCAGACATAAAGGATAACTACTAGTGATTTCATATTAACAAGACTAAATAGCAGCAACATTGAAGAAAAATAATCATGTAATGTTTCAATAAACTTAGAAAAAAATGCTTTTCCATAGTTCTAAGGTAGCAATTTATTCTAACCTGTCCAGTCAAACCATAATAAATTATTTTTGAATCACATAATGTGGAACGGGATCATTTGGGTATCAGTTTTAGCATGTAACCTGAATCCATTTTTCTATATTTTGCACTCTCATGTGCTGGAAAACAGATTTGGGCTTTCTGTGTAACTACCAAGTTTTATCTTTACAGATATGACTTGCCAGGAATATATGGATTAAATTTTGTTCTTAAAAACTCTCTTGGTGGTGGTGGCACAGTGTCTCTGAGAAGTGACCCACAAGTAGGTATCTACAGTACTTATAAAGAATAATTCAGCTAGTCTGTTCAGCAAAGCAAAAATTACATAAACTGGTATCAGTTCCAAATACCTGACATTACATATACAGAGGGAAATAGAGAAATACACAATCTCTGTATTTATCGAATACAGGTTCTAGTTAATAGTATTTCACAAAATAAATAAATTAATCTTTTAGATCAGACATGTCAAACTCAAGGGCTGTGGGCCATATCCGGCCCATGATGTGTTTAGATCTGCCCCACAGGGCCACCCTGGAAACAGCGAGGGGCTGGCACTGTCCCGGCCTATCCTAGTCTGGCCGGGCGCTCCCCCTGGGAGTGTGTATAGGAGGCGGCAAGCATGCAGGAGCTGGCGGTGCCAAACAGCAGCTGCAGCTCGTTGGCCCCTTGCCTGCTCATTGGATGTGAGCCTGAGGCATCCAATAAGTCGCACTTGGCCCCACCCCACCTGCACTGCATTCCTGCACCTCAGGGCCCTGCAGCCAGGCCATCTCCGCCCCACCACCTGCCTCGCCCCCACGGTGGTGGCAGCAGCAGCAGCAGGCCTGTACAGTAGGAGCCCCTCTGCCCTTCCACTCATCTCCAGCTCAGAAAGCTCACAAATCTGGAGGGGAAGCTGCTGTCGCAGCCCGCGGGGCAAAGCAGCTACCTTGACACCCCTGTTTTAAATGAAACAGGTCAACTTATTGTTTCTTAGTAACATAGTTGAAAAGGGGAATCTAGCTATTAGTTTTATGTTACATAGTTCCTTTTGTCAATCATTTTTATTATAATACCAGCTGACAGGTCAGTCTCATATAATTAATTCTAGCTCTAAAATTCAGAATTTATTATAGCTAACTTTCAAATTGCCCTTTCTGCAGATTTCTCCTTTTTCCATATTGGCTTGAGGAAAGACCTTTGTTGTCATAAACGGAGACTCAGAGGGACTTACATACCCCTCCAGGCCTCCATTCTCAGGGCAAACACCTTGAGGAAAGGACTTCGCCATCATAAACAGAGGCCTTGAGGGATGCACACGCCCTTCCCGGCCTCTGTTCCCAACGGCAATGGCTTTTTGCAAAGACAGCAAAAGGCTTTGCAAATGGAGGGAAGGCTTCAGTGCTGTAGGCCTTTCCTCCATTTGCAAAGCCTTTTGCTGCAGATCTTGTCCAGGCCTCCATTTGCAGAGAACAGAGGCCTAAAGTACCATGAGATCACGTGAGATCAGCATGCATGAGCCCCTCCTGGTCTTCATTCTCGACGACAAAGGCTTTTTGCAAAGATAGCAAAAGGCTTTGCAAACGGAGGGAAGGCTTCGGTGTTTCAGGCCTTCCCTCCATTTGCAAAGACTTTTGCCCCAGATCTCATCCAGGCCTCTGCTTGCAGAGAACAGAGGCCTAAAGTACTGTGAGATCACACAAGATTAATAGCACGAGATCTCACGTTACTGATCTCGCATCAGCTTGTGGTACTTTAAGCCTCCATTCTGTGTGAATGCACCAAAGGCCTGAAGCACCAAAGCAGGCCAAGAAACTGAAGGCCCACAAGATCTTCGCAAGGTGAGTAACCACAGACCCAATACCTGTGGAGACCCGGCGGGGGGGGGGGGGAGGAAGCAAGGCGAATGTTGCAGTGCCTTTATGGTTGTTCGTAAGGATGAATGACTGCCGTGGTGCTACAACATTCATAACTTCAGGACTGTGTCATAAGTACTTGGGGGGAATTATGTTGTAACTTTGAACAGTTGCTATGTGAACTGTCATAACTTGAAGATTACCTGTATGTATTATATAAACCCATGCATGTTATACTAGGGGTAAACCCCAGATTTATAATGCAGGTATTTAAAGGAGAAATAAAAACCAGCAAGAAAGCCAACCTCTTCAGAAGTAGATTATTCTACAGGAGGTTGTTGCTGAAAGAGGTGACTATTTGAGAAAATTTCGCCTTTCTCCTGGCTGAGTTAGAACTACAGTTTTTTTTCTCATTTATTTCTTTTACAGGGCAAGGCATTTGGACAAATGCTACTTGACTTCAAAATTAAAAATGTTCCAGATTTAAAATCTTTGACAGAATAATATCATTGATTTTATTCCATTTTGAAATTGCAGTATTTTAAATAAATTTAAAAAATTAAAAGAATTGGTGATGTTTATCATTTAAGAATTTAACTGATTCCTAACACTCAGATACGAGAATGTTCTGAGTAATGCCAGATCTGCTTCTTTGTATGTCACTGGTATTTCCTGTCTGCTGCACTGGATGATGATCCTATTTATTTCCTGTGAATATAATTAAACAATAAATTATAGAATATTTTTCCAAGAGTTAACTACTGCTCTCAAGTAAAAACTGTCTCTCTTTCTCTGCTGCTTGGTATTACAGATATAAAACTAGGAATACTGTGCATAATTATAACTATAATTATTTATTCAAATTGTATGGCCACCCAGGATGAGCAACAGCTATCCACAATAATAATGGAATACTACTGGATTTGCCAAAATTAAATCTTATTACCATGGGGTCTAGACACTGTTATTGTGTTTATCTGGCATATTTTCTAATAACTACTTCCTTATGATAAGCAAAGGCATTTGCTTTATTTGCAAGCAGACATAAAATATTGAACAAAAAAAATTATTTAAGTAAAGCTTAGCTATTGGTAGAAATGTGGAAGGAAAGTGAAGAGCATTCACCAGAAGTATGGTGAATGAGTTTAGTTAAAGTGGTGATGAGTGCTCTGTTAGAAGATCTGAAAGCTCAAGCTGAAGACAAACCACGTTGGAGAAGTCTGCCTATGCAATTGCTGAGAGTCAACATCAACTTGATGCACATACAGTAATCAAATCAATAGATGTAGCTAAACATACAGAGATACATACTGTAGTAAATGTTTGGCAAGATTGATGACATGACGGTATATAGTCAGTAAAAAAACTCTTTTAATTCTCTAGATTGTATAGATTGTGTTCAGCTATTCTGTATTCTTGGGTCACTTTCCCAATACAGGTAGTCTTCTACTTACGATCACAATAGAGCCCAAAATTTCTGTTGCTAAGCGAAACATTTGTTAAGTGAATTTTGCTCCATTATGCCACCTTTCTTGCCGCAGCAGTTGTTAAGATAGTAACAAGGTTGTCAAGTGAATCTGGCTTCCCTATTGACTTTGCTTATAAGAAAGTTGCAAAAGGTGATCACATAACCATAGGACACTGCAACTGTCATAAATATGAGTCACTTGTCAAGCATCCAACTTTTGATCACATGACTATGAGGATGTGGAGATTCTCAGTCATCCAGGTCATAGTTATCTTAAAGGTGCTCTTTTCTTCAAAAGGCAACTAGATTGGTTTTTTTTCTTCCTCAAAGAAAAAACAGTCCAGGTGCTTTTGAAGAAAAAAGCACCTTTGAGATGACCACGGGGATGCTGCAATGGTCGTAAGTGTGAAAAACTGTCACAAGTCCCTTTTTTCAGTGCCATTGCAACTTTGAATGGTCACTAAATGAACTGTTATAAGTCAAGGACTACCTGTATAAAATGGAATATTCCATTAGCCTTTACTATACATGGAAAAACTGAAGAAGATTCAAAGCTAATAGGAGGCAGACATACAGCAGGTAATTACACTATTTGAAGTCTTTGAAATTCTAGTATAGATATGTCCTACTTGAAACTGGGAACTCAGATTAAGGCATTTTAATATAAACTTAAAACACAGTGACTGATAAGGTCAGATAAGTACTGATGCTCCTGATTGTGCCTCTTGTCTGGGTCACATTGAAGGCCAACATCTTAAGAGTTTTTCATGTTTTATCACAGTTCCAAGAATATCTATGCAGTGTATGGTGCCTACTATTACTTTCCTCTGACTCCAAGATGTCCTGTTCTCATATTGATGTTTGGCTTGTTACCATGGATTTTTGTACAGAACTATTCTGACACATGCTCAAGTGCTTTTACAGGATAATCGCCTTTGGCTCCTTAAGAGAAATTTGCCCTCTTTCCCTTACAGATTATCCTGTTCCTGGAACTTTGACAGATATTGTCAGAGGAGTGTTTTTTTCTGTTTTTACCAAGACTCTTTATCCTTCAAGCATACAAAATTCTTGATACAAAAGCTAGAGCACACAATGTTCTTCAGCTCATCAACCACATATAGTACCTGCAACCTCAGTTTACACCAAATATTCTTATAAATTCTGGAGGTTCCTTTTTAAAAATAGTCAATTAATTAAACATTACTGTTGAAAAGATAAAAACTAATATAAACTAAGATATCAGTAATACAAACAATAAAAAGAAAAAGTTCCAAAAAGAAGAAAAATAGAAAAGAAAAAATTATATAAAGAAATATATAAAGAAATGACTTTTCCTTTCACTGCAAGTATAAATAATTTTAACAACTTATCACCTTCTTTTAAAATACAATGAATAATCTTCCTATATCTCATCTTTTATCTATGAACAAATTCTTAAAGCCTCATCATTCAATTCTGATCAATAAAAGACCATTGAGGATTACCAAAGTCACAATGTATCACTTTTTTTCTTGTTATGACCCCTTAATCCCTTTATTCGGGGTGGAGTCGGGGTGACTGAATGGAGCTGAGCATTTACTGGCTGGATGCCCTTCCTGACACCTACACAGAGTTTGCAACAGATATTTTCTCTTTGCACCCTGATAGAGAAACATCTGCCACTGCCTAGGAGTGAACTCTCAACCTTCCAAGTGGGAGGTGAGCGTCTTCACATATAGGTTGCCATGTAGTGTCACCAAGATATCAATAAAGGAGACTATTTGCAGCTCAAGGTTGAAATGAGGAGTCCTTGGTGCTCCCTGAACTTGGTAGTTTTCTTGCAGATGTTTCATTACCCAAACTAGGTAACTTTATCAGTGCTGATGATGTTACCTGGTTTGGGTAATGACACATCTTCAAGAAAACAACAAGCTCAGGAAGCACCAAGGACCTCTCACCAATGCATCTATTTTAACCTTGATCAAATAAACCAATTTTACATATCTTCCTTTTAACAATCTTGATTTTTAATCCCTTCAAATATTGTCCTATAATTTGATTTCTTTCCATTTTTGTTGGTCCCTTCTCACAAAATGCTTTAAAGCTTTAACAAGTTTTATCTTGCCGTTTTTTAAAAAAGAATTCAGAACAAAAAGCATATTCCACTGGAAGGATTGGTATGATTAATTCTAAAATTTTAAATCAAATCAGGATGAACCTGTCTTAATGTTTTGGGGAGTTCCAACTCAACTGTTATTGGGTTAATGATACATTTGATGGGGAAAGACCCCACAAACTTTGGCTCTAGCTTCTTTGAAGGTTGTAAAGATTTCAAAAACCTTGTGGAGAGATACACCCTATCCCCCATCCTGAAAGGCATTGGCTCTACCCATTTCTTTTCTTTTTTTAAAACAAATTTTATTGAATGTACAATTTAAAAACAAAAATGGGCATACTTCAATTTCCCTGACTTCAACAGTGTTGTTAGTATTACCTTATGTTACAGAAAGAAAAACAGAAACTTAAAATATATTCTTTAACAGGACAAATTATAACAAACTGTGCGTGCAATATCTGTAAAAATTTTGCTAAACCATCTTTCAATCGTCAGCAATTATATTTACATATCTTTCAGTTGTGCCCTAATGTAGGTACTAATAAGAAGTCCTTATGGTATCAACTAGTCAATCGATAATCGCCTCAGCGATCCTCCTTATCTCTAACCAATCGTACAAATTTTTCCAAATTTCATAATACTCTGTTTCAGTTTTATTTTTAATCTCTAGAGTTAACCTGTCCATTTCAGCGCAGGATAAAATTTTATTTACTATTTCTTCCTCAGTGGGGGTTTCCTTTCCTTTCGATTTTTGAGTGTATGCCAATCTTGCTGCAGTTAAAATATGCAATAGTAAGTAAAAAGTTGCTTTGCTGAGTTTGTCATTAATAATCCTTAATAAGAAGATTTCTGGTTTTAAATCAATTTTTTGTAATAGTATTTCTTCCAGCCAATCTTTTATCCGATTCCAAAAATTTTGCGCCTTTGAACATTCCCACCACATGTGATAATAGGTCCCTGGAAGCCTTCTACATTTTCAGCATGTTGGTGAGGTTTTTTTATCTATTTTTGCTAGCCTTGTAGGGGGAAGGTGCCATCTGTAAAACATCTTGTATAAATTTTCTTTGTAGGAGGTGGCTAGTGTTAACCTCCTGTTTCTGTCCCATAATGATTGCCAATTATCAAGGTCAATACTGTAACCAAAATTTTTACTCCAGATTAACATTGTTTCTTTTACCTGTTCTTCTAATAAATCTTGTTCTAATAAATANATTTTATCCCTGGTTCTTTTTTGTCTTTTCTGTATCACGACTGCATTTGTAAGTATGCCCACCATTCCAACTCTATACCATCTTCTGATAATCTTTTCCTTGTTTTCAGATCCCCATTCTCGTCTAAGATATCTTTGTATGTAATTACTCTTCCTAAATTTATGAATTTGGGGTGCATGAATATCTCTAATATGGATAGCCAATTGGGGATTTTTATATAATTATTTTTTTTAATTTTTGTCCACACGTCTAATAGTGCCCATCTAATATGGTGATTCTGAAAGTACTGATGAGTCTTATATTTCCCGTCCCACATTATAGCATGCCACCCTATTTGCATATCATGGCCTTCTAATGCCAGTAGTCTTCTGTTCTTTAAGTGTATCCAATCCTTTATCTCTACCAATATTGCTGCTTGATAATATTTTTCCCAATTCGGGAGGCCGAGCCCTCCTCTTTCTTTTGCATCCTGTAATAATTTTAATTTAATTCTCGGTTTTCTACCTTACCAGATAAATTTGGATGTAATTCTGTTTAAATTTTCAAAAAAATCCTTACCTAATTTAATTGGTACACATTGAAATAAAAAGAGTAATTTGGGGAGTATATTCATTTTGATTGTCGCTATTCTCCCCATAAAGAAGAGCTGCAAGTTTTTCCATCTGTCTAAGTCTGCTATAATTTGATCTATTAATTTATCATAATTTTCTCTTTTGAGTGTAGTACATCTTGCCGACAGTTGGATCCCCAAGTACCTTACTCTTTTAGATGTCTGGATATTGATTTTTTCTACTAGCTCAGTTTCTTGTAAATTGGACATGTTTTTGACTAACATTTTAGTTTTTTCTTTATTAATTTTCAACCCTGCGACATCTTCATAATTTTCCAGCACCTGTAATAATCTTGTTCCAGATTCTAAGGGGTCTTCCAAAATGAAAACTAAATTGTCTGCATAAGCCTGTAATTTAAATGTCTCTTTTCTGATTTCTAATCCTTTAATCAGCCTATCTTTTCGGATTATTCTTGTAAGTACTTCTAAAGAAAGAATAAATAATAAAGGAGATAGTGGACAACCTTGTCTCGTGCCTTTTTGTATTTGAACGCTATTTGTTAATTTTCCGTTTATAATTATTTTTGCTTCTTGTTTAGAATAGATTGCTTTAAACATGTTTATAAATTTTTCTCCGAATTCCATCTGTTTAAGTTGAATCGACATAAAATTCCATTTGACGTTATCAAATGCTTTCTGAGCATCAACAAAAATCAATGCCATTTGTTTTTCGCTATGTAATTCATAATATTCTAAGATGTCTAGTATGATTCTAACATTATGTCTAATTTGTCTTTTAGGCAAGAAGCCGTTTTGGTCGGTATGGATAAATTCAACTAAATATTTTTTTTAATCTTTCTGCCATTATAGTCATGAAAATCTTATAATCTGTGTTCAGTAAGGAGATGGGCCTATAGTTTTTAATGCAGGTCAAATCAGAATTTTCTTTAGGAATTAGTGAGATAATTGCTTCTTTCCATGAGTTTGGGGTTTTTGTTATATTTAGTACATCATTAAATAAGTCCAGTAGAGTTGGGGCAAAAAGTTCTTGGAGGTTTTTATATATTTCAGACGGTAATACGTCAGGGCCAGGTGTTTTATTACTTTTTTGCTTTTTAATTGCTTCTATAATTTCCTGGACTGTTATATCTTTATTTAATATATTTTGAAATTCTTCCGGGACCTTCGGTAAGTCCGCTTTCATAAGATATTGTGATATTCTTTCCTCCGTAACCATTTTGAAGTGGAAAACCACGATACTTACATCAGAAGACAAGACCACGAAGGGTTGGAGAACCTCAATTTCATCCTCTTTATAAAGATTTTTATAGAATTCATATGTCACCCATTTTTTCTCTTCATTTTGATGTACCATCTCCCCTGCTTGATTACATAATTTACTAATCCATCTTTTATCTTTTTGTTTTTTCAATCTATAAGCCAACCATCTCCCGGGTTTATTTGCCTGTTCAAAAAAATTTTGTCTAATACTTTTTAATTTTTTTTTGCCATTTCTCCCTTTTCTATAATGTTCAATTTATGCTTATTTAAATCTAGCTGTTGTTTTAGGTCTCTACATTGTGGGTTTTTTTGTAGTTCTGATTCTAATTTTTTGTATTCTTCCTCTAAACTTTTTCAATATTGTCTTTTCTTTTTATATTCATTGGCCATGTACGCAATTGCAGTTCCTCTCATAACAGCCTTGGCCGTGTCCCATAAATTTTGAGTGCTAGTCTCCTCTTTCTTATTTATCTGGAAGAATGTCCGCATTTGTTCCTCCATCTTATGCTTAAATTCTGTTTGGTTTAAAATTGCCTTTTTTAGAGTCCACCTCCTTGTTGTTGTCTTCTGTTCTTTCCATTTAATTATAATGGGATTATGGTTTGCCCAAGTATTAATATCTATTACTACATCATCAATATCTGAATTTAATTCTTTCGTTGTCCAAACCATATCAATTCTGGACCATGATTGATGCCGCCCTGAAAAATATGTAAATTGCTTTTCATTCAGATTTCTCTCCCTCCAACTATCTTAAATATTTAATTCTTCTGCCATTTAAAAAAAAATACCAGGTAATATTCTCCTGCTTTGTTTTCTTACTTCCTCACTCTTATAATCTAATTCTCTGTCTATAATTGC